TAACTTCTAAACTAAGAATGGAGAAAATAGACTAAAAAAAACATAAACTTTAAAAGGTAGGAAGAAGAAAAGAACAAAGAACGGGTGAGAAAAATAGGATACTTAAATCTCAATTGATCAGTAATTACATTAAAAGTAAGTGGATTAATGTTCTAGTTGGAAGACAGAGATTGTCCATATAGATATAAAAATGTTTTAAACAATAGGAAACATATTTAAAAGATAAAAAATATGGAAAAGTTGAAAGCGAAAGGCTGAAAATAATACCGTGGCCAAATGCTAATCAAAAGAAAGCTGGTAAATTCTTATCAGACCACGTACATAAACTTTAAAGCAAAAAGCATTATAGGGAATAAAGAAGGTCAGTGCATAATAATAAATGATTTAATACTCTAGGAGGATATAATTCTAAATCTGATAGCAGAGGCTCAAATTATAAGCAGCAAAAATTGACAGAATTACAGTGACAAATTGGCAAATTTTCCATTGGAGGGTAAATTTCAACTAGCCTCAATAATTAACATATAAAGCAGATGAAAAACAGTAAAAATTTGGATATTTGAACAACATAATTAACAAGGTTGGTCTAATGGGAAATATGTAGAATTCTGCATCTGGTAAACAGAAAATTGGGTTAGGCAATAACCCTTCTTCAGCACACATAATAGGTTGTAAAGCGGGACTCGACAAATTTCCAAAATTTGGCAAAATTCAGATCATATTCTCTGATCATCGTGCAAGTAAGCTAGAGATCAGTAACAAAAGAATAAATAAAAAATCTCCCATACACTTGGAAATTTAAAAATTCTAAGTCTCTGCTGCTCAAACGGTGGTCTTTGGACCACTCTTGGTCCACAAGCTCTGACCATGACCATCATGCCCCTAGGAGGTTAAGAAATGGGGAATATGAATTTAGAAACTTCTACAGCGTTTGCCATTGCTGTGACCCTCAAGCAGCATTTAATTTTCTAGCAATATTTTTTTTTATTTTACAAAAGTATCAGTCCACAAAAGATCGGAAATGTTTTCAAAATGAAGCAAAGTAACAACAAAAAATAAAAATAACCAAACTAGTTCTTCACCACAGTATTTGGGAAGCACTCTTATGTATCTCATTGCTCAAGCAAGAGATCAAAATGGAAATTAAAAAAATACTTAGAACCAAATGATAATAAAAAGTGTGCATTTTTTTAGACCTATCTTGTTAGATTATAATTATTTACTTTTTTTCCTGTCTTATCACAGGCCTTTGTTTCCGACCATCTTTGCTTCCTTCCTGCTTGCCAGTAGTGCCTGGTTGAGTAGGTACTCAATACTTATTTAAATATTGAGTGTTTAAATTTACATATTCAAACTTAAATATTAAATAAATCTAAATATTGATTTAAATATTTACTTAACTAAAATAACAGCCCTGAAATCTCAAACTCTATTTACTCCACTTGTAACTTCTTGGCCTCACCTAAGTGTCATGGAGATTCACCAGGAATCTGTGTTTACTTGGCTTATTTTCACTGTGTCCCAGCAAGCAGGGGCTTAGACAGTCCTGCATCTCTTCGTGCATTTAACAGTGAAAAGGAGAAGATAAGAGGGGAGTAGAGACAGCCCTTTCATCGTCCATGCTTGGGAAGGTGAGCTGATAGTGCCTTCCTTGACATGAAGGAGCTACTTAAACACAAATTGGATTAGCAGGACAGGATTAGAGCCTGCTGGAAAGTATTATATACTTATAAACTGCTTTGTGGAAACTCCTATTGTTTTCGTTACAAGCCCATACTCCACAGAGTCAATCAAATGAAAAACTGGGTTGTCTATTAATAAAAATGAAATGCAATGAGATATAAAATGAAGTGACTAAGTTTTAGTAATGCCAAGAAAGTTGAATTAGGCAACAGTAGTTCAGTTTAGTAAACTATATATAACCTAGATCATCTGAGATGAGAGTTTTAATAAAGATTTCTTCTTCATAAGAAACTCACTAAAATGGTCTTTATTCTATATTCTCCATCAATAATAATATTCGAACAAGAAACACAATTAAAAGATGACTTTGAGGAAAAAAAAAAAGGATATCAAATATGTGAGGAGTTTCAGAGTTATCTGGACATTTCAAATGAATTGAAGTCCCTAGGTCTAAATGGATTATAATACCAAGACACTGAAAGAATTTGCAGATGTGAACACAGAACTCCTGTCAGTAATCTTTGAGAAACCATGAAGTATACAAAGGTGACAAAAAATAAAGAGAAGCCCAGGCACTAACTTTCCAAGAAAGGGGAAAAAGGTTAATTATAGAATATGCTGACAGATAAATTTGAGGCTGACTCCTGGCAAAAGTGCTAGGAGATACAAATCTTGGTTTTGCCATTTAATGGCACTATGATCTTGGGCATATTTCAAAACTTTGCTGTAAAAATTAAATGAAATAAGATATATAGAGCATTTAATATAACACATATTATACAGAAAACTCTCAGTAAATGGTAGCTATTACCATTTTTGTGTCTCCAGCACTTTCAAATAGAAGATGGTGACAAATGGGTACTGACATGGGTTCTTCAAGGTCAAGTCCCATCTTCCTAACCTCATTTTTCTGGTAAGGTGGAAGTGTGGTATTTCTAGACAGGTAGATAGGGAAGGTAATTTCATTATGAAATGGCATTAGATTAAAAAAAAAAAATTTCTTATATATCCTTGTGAAAAGATTGGATTTTAGCAGAGTTAGGTGACTGAATAACTATATTCACAGCATTGCTTCATGAACTTGACCTCTCCAGGCCTCAGTTTCTTTAGAAGGAGTACAATAATACATCACTGGGCTGTTATGCAAATTAAAGCCCTTAGAACAGTGCCTAGCATTTAGCTATCATTATATAAATGTTTGTTAAATAAAGTGGAACAGAAGTTTCTAATGGCATGCTTCTGCAGCACTTGGCTCCTACCTCTTCAATATTTTCATCAGAGGCTTGTTAAATTTTCATATGGTATGCTGGTCAAATGCTCAAAAAATATAAATGTGAGATAATAAAATAAAAAATCCAAAAAGACCTTGACAGGCTAGGCCTCTGAAATGAAATACATGAGATAAAATGAAATCTCGAATAGAGATTTTAAGAAAAAATTTTTTTTACAAGTACTAGCCTGGCTTGGCAGAACATTCTGTGGATGAGAAAGAGACATTGAGTTGACTGAAAGCTCAGCATGCATAAAACAGTGTGTCTGGCAATAAATGCAAAGTTTAGCTGCATTAAGAGAACGGGAGCATCCTGACGAAGACGTAGACACCAAGGTGGCAGGCGCAGCTTGCACATCGTAAACTCTTCTGCCCCCTTCCCCTCCTTAGGTCGCACCTAAGTAGTGGCTCTGAGTACAAGGATGAGCTTCGGAACACAGATGAACAGCAAGAGATGTGAGGCAAGAACAGACCTTATTTTCAACTCATGTGGGTGAGAGAAAACATCCTCAGGTAGGTATGGGAAGATAGCCTCAAGATTTGTGAAGAAATGTACTTAGAAGTTTATCAGGGCACCTAATGGCTCACTGTGCTACATGCTAAAATAAATTCCCCTCTAATCATGATTATTACAGGATTTATCTAATCTATTTCCTATAGGAAATGAAGCTACTCCCAGGCATTTTATCAATTTTTTTCCTCATAATAATCCCTGTCCCTGACAAAAGAAGATTCTGTCATCCCACAGTACAGATAAGAAATTGAGGCAAAGAAGTAAACTGAATTGCCTTGGGTTACACAGAACTGAAATTACAATTTAGTATCTAATCTTAGAATGCACTACATGAGTTTTGGAAGGGAGCATACTAGAATCACATTATATCCTTCAAGAAAATGCTGATTTACCTTAATCTCTTGGAGAAAGAAGATTAATTGTATTTTCCTTAGTGTATGCCAAAGATTTTGAATAGATGCTTTAGATTCCACATGCTTATTCTAATCCTTTCCCAAATACTTGGAAAGCCTTGGTTTGACCATTAGGAAGACGCTAGAAATAAACTTTTTAAAAAAATATTAAAGCAAATATATGTTTGTTAGAATCTTCAAGAAAAGCAATTAATTGAGAAAGGTGTATAGTACAACCATGCTATTTCAGATCACCTAGGACAAGAAACTGTCCAAATAGGCATAAATCCAGATGGTCGGCTCCCCCTGTCCCCCTACTCCACAATCCATTCCCAGCCCAACCTCATTGTCTAGGGGCTGGATAGATAAAGGTCGAATGAAAGTATGTTTTTAACTTAAAAAGTTCCATGTAAACATTAGTTATTTTTATAATGATTTATATATTTCGCCTAATCATTGAAAAAAATCCATGTTCTTTACGAAAATCTAGAAAATGAAGTTAAGCAAACCAAAATGAAACAAAAGCACCCCCTGTGCCACCACCCAGGAGGAACCTTTCATACCTGTTTACAATTTGATGTTTTCTAAGGCTCATTTTTCAGGCCATGAGGAAATCAGCCAAAAGCTGCAACTCTAAGGTTCTTTTCAGTTTCCGTTTAATTAAGCAGGGAAAATGGTGACTTATCCACAGAAGCCTATTTTTTATTTTCTTGGCATTTGTCTGAGAAAAGATAAGGCTACTACTCAATATTCCTGGCAGTAAAAAGAAGAAATAAATTCCTAATTGCATCTTACTGGTCTGAAAAATTTATACACCACAATTCTAGGATTGTCACTTACCCAAACTAGCAAAAATCACAGCCAGAATACATTGTCTTTATACCTCTTTATCTATATGCACACATAGTCACGTATATTGAAGGTCTTGATTTTAAATATATTTTGGTTGAATTCTTACTTCCTCTTGGAGAAGAGACATGCACATTAGGAACCTGTACAAGGACTGGGTCAAGGATGTATCAGCAATCAGAAAAAAGGGAGAACAGTAGGATCTTTCCAAACAGTGAGCAACGCTACTAGGAGAGCACCAAATTTTGATCCATTTCTTTTTCTCATCCTAAGAAAAAAATCATGCCATTACCTTTTTGTTCACAGCCACACCATCCTCACAGTCGAGCACCGCACAATCTACATTCAGGGACGGAATCTTCTTTATTTTCTTTTCATCATTTCCAGGTACATAGAGCACTGCCCTCCGTGGAATGTACTTGTGATTAGATAAGGAACTATATCCAGGCCTGGACACCTCAGCTGCCAGAGATGCTTTCCTGAAGGAAATACAATTGGGGTTGGTCCAGAATAGCATTTATTTACAAATTTTTGAAAAACCTAACTTTTAACTCAAAATTAAAATAGAAAACATGGATAATCTTTTTTAATGGTGGCAGAACACAATCACACCAAACAACTAGGAAAACAATAATAACAGAAATAACCAAGAATCAAAATGTCATTTTGGCTGAGGTTTAAAAAATATATGACACTGTTTATTGACACAATCTTCTGAGAAAAGAAGGAGAGTGTACCTATTTCTTCTTGGAAAAATACTGTCCAGATATCATCCGTGGAGAAAATGGGAAAGATCCTAAATAACAATACTATCTACAATTATATGGAAGTAAAATAAAAAATAGAAAATAATCTATCGAAGCATAAGTTCGTGGCCCTCTCCCTAACAATGAATCTTTTTCAGTAGACAAATAAGTAATTCAAGTTCAGTTTTAACAAGAGACAAGAATGGTCGGCTACTTCTTGAGTAGAAAGGACAGTGAGTGGGATCATTATTGGCTCTGTAATTGCGGGCAACTTAATTACTGGAAACTTCAAATTCTTCGTTTATAAAAATCATACTCATTTTACAGGTTGTCAAGAGGATTAAGTTAAAGGAAATAATGGATGTGAAGCACTTAGCGAGATCCTGGCAAATACTGGCTCCTTGATGCAGAGGTGGGCAGAGCAGGAGTAGCAGCAGCTGCTGTTGTTCTTAATGGAGACACTCGAGCTGTCAGTAGCCCCTGACTGCTCTTAACCCTGAGCTATTCTTCCCTGTCCTATTGTGTACTCAGTCTAGCCGCCTGAGGAAATAAAAGGAAGTTGGTCAGAAGCTTCTTTGGCTCACTCTAGACTTTACCTCTCACCTGGTCCATAACTCGATACTGGGAAAAACATGTTTTAGCCCATAATATATAGTAAAGAAAGGTGAAATCAGCTTTCATAATCAGGACCAGTTACATAAGTTGTGGCACCCAGTGTAAAATCAAAATGCAGAGCCCCTTGTTCAAATTTTATTAGGAATTACAAGATAGTGATAGAAGAACATCAGACTAAGCGCTAGACTCTTCTAAGCTGGCCGCACATCCATAAAGCCGGCCTTGCCCACAAGAGATGGAGAGTCCAGGTAAGAAAAGGTTAAAGTGCCAGCAAACTGGTACTGCCCTTTTCACTCCCCCTGGGTAAACAATGCCATCCTTTTCAAAAACGTGTCAGCCGTACTGTTCATGAAAGCTCTCTTTTGGTAGTTATCCTAAGTTAATGTTATCAAATATTTTGAACGGCTGTAACATTTTTCCATTATTCGTATGCCTTGTGACAATGTATCAAGAAAATCACTTTCTTTGGTGCTTATCAATTTCATGTGCCCACCCCCCCCATTCCTTCTTGCAGCCAATCTTCATAAACTCTAAAGTTTGAGTCTGAGTCTTATTTTTTCACAAATAAGCATTATGCTATGTGAGGTAAATTGAGGTATAGATGGATTTTAAAAGTATACATATCTTACAATACATTTTATTTAACATGAAGTATATTATGGCCAGCAAACTGAAGAATGCCTGAAATATGTCATCATTTTGTCTTGACTAAAAATATCCGATGCATCGTTTAAAAGGGAGAAAATACAATGATGTAATAGCAACAATCATATTTTACTTATCATTCATACTAGAAACCAGAATTTGCAACAAATACATTTCCTTTAAAATGGCAGAAATACAATTGAAGGAGATGAAATTTTTATTTACCAGAAAACGCTTAGGGCAAAGTTACTTCTCATCAAGATCTGTTGTAACCACACGTGTAACGACCAAACAGGATCAGAACAGTTGTAGCGGAAAGAGGGCCCTCCCTACAGCTCTCACCTCACCTCTCCTTTCCACATTTCCCTGACAGCTTGAAGGTCTGGACAGCTCTGTCCCAGTGGTAAGCGACCTTCATTTCATGAAAACTGAGATTTCCTCCAAGTGAAATAGCTTCTGACCACCATTTTGGAGTCTCCAAGCCACACTGAATTTCAAAGCCTGGGCCATCCACACGTGGCTGACATGTCATATGTGGCATGACAAGTCATACCACTGTTGCATACCAAGCACTAGAGCAAATCATTCCTAGGACATTTATATGATAATTTTTAAAACAGATGATCATTTAAAAAAAAAAATCTCTTGCCACTGTTAAAGATTGTTTCTGGTTTCCCAGAACCTTTAACCTTTACCTAGATGACTACAGAAGCCACTTATTTATCCTCACTGTCTCCTCTTTGTTATTACTTTTGTTTATTCATTCATTCACTCATTCATTCATTCAGTGAACACTTAGTAGGCATCCACTAAGTGACCTGCACCAGCCTCTACTAGCACACATGGCAGGTAACTTTGTGAGAATCAGGAAAAGGTGCCCTCTCATGTCTTCCAGGAGGTAGCAGAACATAAAGGTGCCTCCTGCTCCTGAGGTAGCATGCTTTGGTGAGTGAAGATGAGCTAAAGCTCAGCCCCCGTTCATGTCACTCAGTAGGCACCCAGTCAGGGTACATCCCACACAACTGTATGCAGTGGCCCTGACCCACACTGTGCTAAGCGCTGTGGAGAGGCAGCATGAAGAATCAGGACTTGCCCAGAAGGTTCAGGGAGGAATACCCGAAGAGTGGCCTCCAAACCAGGTCAGAAAGGTTAAAGACCAGTAAGTAAGGAATCTTGAGCGGGAAAGAGATCAAAGATGCTTGGAACAATAAAGAGAGAAAGGTGTAGAGGCTTCAGGTTCTATTGTTCTCTCTGAGGTCCAGGAGAGGGCTGTCACTGGACAGGTGGCAGAAGCCTGTCTGTCATGGCTTCCCCAAGTTCCCCTCCTCCCTGCACTGTTGGTGTGTCCTCTCCTTTCCCCACCTCTGGCTGTTTCAAAATCTGTTCCTTACCTTGAGTTGTGTTAAGCACTGTCTAATTGTGTATGAATACAATTGCAGTAGGTGACAAGATCTAACTTATTTTATCTTACATATTTAGATTTAGGACCCCTTGATAGTCAACATGTAAATGTATTCAAACAATATACAAAACAGGGGCTTAAGATGAGTTGAAAAAAATCTGGTAGCCTTATGGTAAGATCTCTCTACAGAGGGGACCTTTTTTCAGACAAGACATCTCTCAGCAGGTCCAAGGGTTCTTCTAGCTGAAAGAGGGACCCTCTTGGCCTTATTTTGGTCATCTCCCTCTCCTCTTCCCTCTGATGCCATTTATTAATCATTTATATAACTAGAGTCATAGCGAGTCCCCAGTGTTGCAGGGGTTCTCCACCTGAGAGTCGATATCACCATTAACAGGGCAGCTTTTAAAAAGTGTCAAATTCTAGACCCACCCAGTGCAATCAAATTAAATTCACTGGTAACAGGGCCTGGGCTCAGTTGCTTGTTTGTTTGTTTGTTTGCTTGTTTTTAAGCTCTCCGGGTCCTTGCCACTTAAGAAAGGTGTTGCTGCAGACTAGCACCACTGGTGTCTTACCTGACCTCAGGTGAGCATCTCCCATCTCTCAGGGTAGCAGCCCTATCACATGGGAGCTTGTTAGAAATGCTGAATCTGGGCCCCCATCCCAGGCCCACTGAATCAGAAACTTCACATTAACAAATCCCCCAGGGGATGCTTATCACAAGAAATTGTGAGAAACTGCTCTAGGTTGACTCAAACTTGGGGGCACACTGCAGTCACCTGGAGAGCTTCTACATATGCTGGCACTAAAGCCCCAGCCACAGAAAGTTTGATGTCGTTGGTCTGGGGAGAGGCCTAGGCTCTGGGACTTCTAAAAGCTCCCTAGCTGATTCTGCCGTGTAGCCAAGTTGGAGATCCATTGCTCTAGTCGATTCCAACGTATAGCCACTGCCCTCATGCATGGAATGTTGCTTCAACCAAAATTTCTCTTAAGTGAGTCATGTGCTACCAACATATACACACAGATGCTGTGACAGTAATAAGATCGTAACTGAAAATTCAGCAGACTTGGAAAAAAACCCATGTTTAAAGAAAAATCTTCCTGATTAAAAAAAATTAACACTCAAACAGTTAACAATATTAGAAATAGCAGTACTAATCAAATAATAAGCTAATGTTTATTTGAGTATCCCAAATTTGATATGTGACTTCAAAACCCAAGTTAATGGTTTCTTTACTTAGCTGAGAGCTAGTACAGAGGCCTCTACTTTAGCCGCACATTACAATCACCTGGGGAACTTAGGAAAAGAAAAAAACCCAGGCCACTCCCCAAACCAATTAAGCCTGAGCCTTGAGGTGATCCCAGGCAGCAGTGTTTCTTTAAAGCTCCAGAGAGACTCTGACGTGCAGCCAACAACAAGAACCTCTGCACCAGGGTTTGCAAGTACAACTAAAAGTGTTTTATTGGTCCTAGAAAGGGCTTGGGTTGTTGGTCATCAACAGTTGCCAGAATGTAATCTTACCAGATTTAAGCAGGGGAGTTGAGTACTAGTTATGCAACTTTCCACTAAGCAGGTCACTGGGGAGAGGTAATTTTGGCAAGAGTGGTACTTTTCCTTACTTGGACATCATGATGCTCCACATTGCCCACTCACTGCATCAGTAGCCATCTCTGCAAATGTTTGGGCGTGGTGGGAGGTGAACACCCAGAAGTCCTTACTGAGCTTAGAGCTTCAAACTAGATTCTTATATCAAGTTCACGGTGAGATAACAAACTCGCCATTTTTAACAAAGAAGGAAGTCTAATTTCCAACAGTTTGATGGCCTGAAGCTAGAGCTCCTGGGAGGCAAAGTGAAAAAGGATGGAGGACTTGCAGTAAAGGAAGTCCCTGTCATAAGCAGGGCCAAAGCCCGTTGGGTGCTGAGAGAAGCTCCAAGGAGAGTGTGAGTGGAGAGACTGAGGGAGGATTCTGTCTGGCTCACTCTGCCATCCCAGGAACCTGCAAAGCTGTTTAGAGAGGTGATGAAACACCCAAGATAAGCTGAAGGCGGAAGCTGGAAGCAGAAAAAGATTG